TGGTTCGCGTCCTGGACCCGGTGGCTTAAAACTCACGCCGGGCACGTGTGTGTGCATGCCCAAGATCCCGAGAGGAGAATGGAGGAGAAGGAACTGCAGCGTGACCATCCCCCCGGGGGGTGATTTCTCGCTTTCTGTCTCTCTGTCTCTCTCTGTCTGTCTGGCGAGCACACGTGCCCTATAGCGAAAACCTCTCAAAAAAAAGAAAGAAAGGATAATTACAAATCAAGGTAGGACTGCAGGACTGGATTTCCTTATACTTACACAGAGAATTCCAAGCTGGTAGGAAGAAGCCTGGGGGAAGATGGGGAGAAGGGATCCAAGCCTCTTTCCACCCTTCTCAAGTCCTGTGTCATGGTAGCGATTGTTTTGTTTAACATGGTTGGTCTCTAGTGCCCAGTGATTTAACCGAACACCCAATCCAGGTGTTTCTGTGAAGGTATTTTGTAGATTGAATCAGCACCTACAATCAGCTGATTTTAAGTAGAGGAGAATACTTGGGTATTGTGGGTGAGACTCGTCCAATCATTTGACGATCTTAAGGGCAAACAGAGGTTTCTCACAAAGGAAAGGAATTCTGCCTCAAGACACCAACCTCAAACCCTGCCTGAGCTTCCTGCAGATTTCAAACTTGCCAGCCCCACAATTGCAGGAACCAATTTCCTTAAAATGAATCATATATATTGGGGCCAGCAGGTGGCGTGGAGGTTAAGGCACCGATCCTACATGGCCGTGGTTCCAGTCCCGGCCGTGATGGTTTGAAAATCATGCCAGGCATGTGTCGGGGGGCGGGGGGTGGGGGGTGGGGGGACAGGTTTCTCACTTGCCCTCTCTGCCTCTGTTTTTCTTTTCTCTAGTGAGCACATGCACCCTATGGCAAAAACATAAATAAATCGTGTGTGTGTGTGTGTACGGATACACATACATACGTGTACGCATCTTCTACTGGCTCTTCTGTGGACTTTTCATCTCTGGATAGTGTTTGATCATCCTTCAGAGAAAGCTTTATGTCCACTTTGCTCGATTCTCGCTACCTAGAAGACTGCCGGTGAAAATTACTCCTGTGTTTGTAATCACTGCCCAGGACCCGCCTAGGAAGCTGCCATGTATGCACAGCTATCAGTGACACTAAAACATCCCCAGAATTAATTTCAACTACAGCACTGGCCAACTCCAGTTGACACTAATTCCTTTCCCCACTGATGAGAAGAGAACTTACCCCACGTTTACCAAGCAGGCAGAGCTCTGAGATGGAGAGAAAGCTCCCTGGCAGCGCCTCCTCCAGCTGCTGAGCATGCGCTGACACACCACACACACACACACACACACACACGCTACGCGGGCAGCAGAATGACCCAGCCCAGGACTAAACTGCCTGAATCTGGAACAAAATGCTGTTTACCAGGAACAGGTGAAGTATTTAATCACCTACGTGGTGTAAGATGAATCACAAGATGGTTTACGCAAGGCAGTCACATAGAGTAAGTATCTATTATAAATCTGTTTCAACTATGAAGGTGAACCGCTTTTTAAAAAAAGAATTATTTATTTACTCATGCCAGGTACGTGGGTGTACATGCCCAAAATCCCCAGAGGAGACTGGACAGAAGGGACTGCGGTGTGGCCATCCCCCAGGGGGGTGATTTCTTCTTTCTCTCTATCTCTCTGGCAAGCACACATGACCTATAGCAAAAATATCTCTCTCGGGATCAACAGTTAGCATAATGGCTATGTCACTGGACTCCCATGTAGTTGACCGTGGTTCAAGTCCCGGACCCAGCGGCTTAAACTCACGCCGGGCACGTGTGCGTGCGTTTCCAAGATCCCGAGAGGAGAATGGAGGAGAAGGGATTGCAGCGTGGCCATCTGCCCTGGGGGGTGATTTCTTGTTTTCTGGCTCTGGCTCTCTGTCTCTCTCTGTTTTTCTGGCAAGTGCACGTGCCCTATAGCAATAAACCTCTCCCCCCAAAAAAAAAACTCTCTCTCTTAAAACAAAAGGAATTATTTATTTAATTTTATTTATTATTATTTTGCTCTAGGACATAGGGAGAAATAGTGTGTGTTGGGGTAGGGGAAATGAGAAAACAAGCTTCCAGGTCCAGGATTCAAACCACAGTCTGTCTGGGAGCCCAGTACCTTAACCACCACACACCTGCTGGCCCCAGATGAAGAGCATTTATTAGCAGAAACTTACTTCCCTTTTGCTAAGGAAGTTTATCTCACAGGGTCACTAGATTATTGTCGCTTACCTTATTGTCTTGGGTTTGACCCTGGTGCCGAGAACTAACAGTGAGTGCTCTTGCCTCCTCACAGCTTAGGGTCCTGGTGCGACCACGTGGAAGGGTGATGGGATGCGAAGGACCAGCACTGGCTCCTCTACCTCTTCTGTGAAGATCTGGAAAAGGTAGGGGTTCTGAGACCGATGGTTAGACCCAGCCCACCCACGTGGAAGGCCACGTTCTGCATGACAGGATGCCACACAGATATTCTCTCCTCCCCTCCTCCCTGTCATAACATTGTCCCCCCTCCCCATGGTCAGATCCAAAACACGAGATTCACCCAGTGTTGGAATTTCTGGAGAAAACTGTCAGAGGACACTGTGAACAAGATTATCCACCACACCTCGTTGGAGGTAATGAAGGAAAAGCCTACGGCCGACCAGTCAACTGGGCCTTCCTTCACATATGATTTCACCATCTCCAAATTCTTGAGAAAGGTTGTAGACATTTCTTGTACTTAATTCCACTCTAAAAAATATTTTAAGCCAAAATAATTTTGAACTTAATTTTCATGAAGAATTTATGTATTTCAGTCTACTTAAGACTGTCTTCTCCCTTCACTCTGCCTGCTTGGTGCAGCTAAGGGCCAGCAGTCCTCAGGCTTGAGTGTGCCTCCGAATCTCCTGGGGGACATGCTAAAGTACCAATGGCTGGCCTCACTCTCAGGGCCCTGACTCAGTAGGTCTGGGTGCAGCCGTCTGAGGACGTTCTCAGGTGATGCTGATGTTGATGCTGTCAGTCGTCTGAGGTCCATAACCTCCTCCCAGAAGTCTCCAAGCAACATGTTCTCCAAGCAGCTCTGAGCACTTTCTCCTTTGGCTCATCACTGTTTCTTTCCGAGCTCTAATTTAGCGCTTAACTTTGTAACTATTTGTTTACATGTGTGTTCGGTTTTGTTTCACTAGCACCTTGTACAGGCTACCATACCTTGTAGAGACTCAGTATTACTAACACATGAGAGGGAGCAAGTGTGTGCGGAGATGAATGAATGAGACGCTGCATCCGTGCTTGCAAGATTGGTCTAGATAGAGAAATAGATGCATGAAATTAATGATAAAAAGGTAAAGTGGAGTCTGTTCTAGTAAGCCTCAAGTATCAACCCACGTGATTGAAACAAAATCTCCTTTTAAAAAACAGATTCTTTGACCCCCATTCCTAAAGAACTGATAGCACTTTGGAATCTAGTATTCTATTTTATTATTTAGAGCTTCAGGTTAACCTGCTAGCTGAGGAGTGGGAAACCAGTAAAATCAAGCACCAGGAGAATATAGAGAACACGAGTCCTACATTGGTTGGCCAACTAAGGAACAACTTGTGGGTCACTGGAATCCAAATGTCACTTGTGGAGAATGAAGTGCCTGTAATTTTCCCCAAGCAGATCTTATCCAAGGTGATAACTTCCACCTTTCAAGATATTCCATTGTCTCTGAGGGAACAACAGGAGAAGTCCTCAAGAAGCCCATGATAGTTGTAGACTTTGGGCTGGGGCTACCAGAGCTAATCATGGCAGAAAGCAGAACAAGCAGCCCCAGTGGGGCATCTCACCAAGGCCTGAGGAATCTGAGGAAGGGAGCATGAGTGTACCATGTGCCCTTTGGGACAGGTGGGTGGGGTTGGCTGAAGGACCATGTGTGAAATTCTTTGTTGTCCCCCAGGGATGCCTGGAGACTGGAAGAACCATTTTACTGTGGCTATGAATGAGAATTTTGATGAGCATTATAAGAAGAAAATGGAAGGGACCACACTGACTTTCTGCACAGAAATCTGAGAAGAAGAAAAAACAATACCCTGCCTTTTATCCCATTGGGAAGGGGTAGTGACCAAATGTGAAGCTTCCCATTCAGTCTGACTCATGAGTGCTTTGCTAGTCCACGACTACATGGAAACATGACTTAAAATATTGATTAATCTGCTGCCCAATAAATAAGAGTTGTGGATAGCAGTGGCAGGTGTCATGGGATTTTGAATACAGGTGTATTTCATTGTACAGGATAGATAAAGAGCAAACAGTGGCATGGAGCCTGCACCTGTGCATTCTAACATAGATTTCACAATAAAAACAGATAGGTATTATGAGCCCCATTACAAAGATAGAGGGCAATGCCTAGATATGGAGCCTTTATGAATGAATAATTGCTTGCAAGGGAGAAAAGCTGACAAGGAAGTTTTTAGAGTTACAGTTTATCTCTACATGGGAAGGTATATAAGTAAATTACTTCTGAAAAAAATCAATGGAAAATCAGGGTTACTTTTGTAAAATTTTATTTGTATCTAGCATTTTTTTTTTAAGGAAAAGAACTCAAATTTGAAAAATCAAGAGGTGAGTGCTACTGAAAAAAATCTTTCCTTGTTGCTATGAACAATAAATCTGACCTGTAGATTAGGTGTGAGACAGAAGCACCATGACTATGCATTGCCATTTCTCTAAAACTTGAGTTCCTTTTTATCACTTTAATTGAAAGTATAATCTCAGATTTATGACAAATTTTTAATACACACTGTATGCCTGCTTTGAAAAACTATTGTTGTATGTGATAAAAATTTATGATAATTAAATGTAAATAAAAAAATATAAAATAAAAAGTGTTTCTTTTTAAATAATTATTCATTTAATTTTATTTATTATTATTTAATTTGATAATGTTTTGCATAGAAAAATGTGTCATGACTTTCCCATTGACTCATATATAGTAATATCTTTGCTTTGACTAATGTGCACTAATATTCATGCCGGGAAAAATCATGTTGTATACTATAAAGATTAAATGATTAAATTTAGTGATTAAATTTTAAAGTTTTTTTAAAAAGATTTTTCAGTTACCACCTAGAAAGGTAATCATGGACAATACAGAGCTCCTACTGCACAGAGCAAAATGACTTCCCTACAGTTGTGTCCCCACCGTTCACAGCTATACAGCTAAGCTATTCACACCCTGACTCTCCAGGAAAGGAGAATTTCCACCCCATTCTCTAGCCTGCTTTGAGGAAAAAAATGAACTCGAAATCATAGAATAGATGATGAGATCTTTAAATAAGAAAGGATGACAGCTAGTCCTTTGGGCCTGCTGTACAGAAGGTGAGAGGGTGAGGACAGGGATCCTGACCCAGCTGAGAGGTTGCCTGGGGTGACATTTCCCTATCAGCCATGTAACTCAACTACCCAAATATAGCATTTGAGTCTTGCAGTGATCCAGAGAGAAGATATCCACTACCACACCTAAAAGGCACTGTAAAAATAAAAGACGGATTGGGACCAGCAGTTAGCGTAATGGCTATGTCGCTGGACTCCCACGTAGTCGACTGTGGTTCGAGTCCTGGACCCAGTGGCTTAAAACTCACGCCGGGTGCGTGTGCATGCGTGCCCAAGATCCCGAGAGGAGAATGGAGGAGAAGGGATTGAGTCGTGGCCATCCCCCGCTGGGGGGTGATTTCTCGCTTTCTGTCTCTCTGTTTCTCTCTGTCTGTCTGGCAAGCACACGCCCTATAGCAAAAACCTCTCCAAAAAAAGAAAAATAAATAAATAAAAGACGGATTGATCATCACTGCATGTCAATGCATGTACAGACTGGCTCACATTTATGTTTTGCAATTTGAGAAGTGAAACTAGACAGAGAATAGAGGACTCTGGGACCCTAGGTGCAGTCCAAGTACAAACTAGATCTTGGATATACAGGCAGAAGACCAAAGGAAAGGGGACCTTATTTTCCTGCTTGGAAATAATTCTCTATTGATTGAAAAGCAATTGAATGGTGTAAGTAAAAACATTTCCTGTACTACCTTTGGACTCGAGTATTTTTTACCACCTATTCCCAAGGTTGTTCTCTTTATGCAATGGATCATACTCACATTCCCTTGCAGGAAGTAAAGGGCATGATACTGAAATTCCAGTTGTAGAACAGGGGCTCATGTGTTTGGAGCAAGGCGTTTGGGCTATATAACACTAAGAATGAGGAAAAGGTTTGAGAACCCTTTTGTTGAAAGCTCAGAGGGTAAGAACGACGTCACTGTGTGTTTTACATTTCTGCCACCTTTGATGCCATGACTCAGTTTGAGGCTGCTGAGAACTAAACCGTTGATAGATACATAGTGCCAGGTGGCCTGCCACAGAGCGGTCCCCAGTGCGTCCTCCCACGAGGACTGGATGAGAATACGTTTTCCCCACTTATCAATAGGTATCATCATTGTTATTTAATTTTTGTTAATCTGCGTGCAAAAATTTTTTATTTTGATTTTGTGCGTGTTTTCATTCATTCGTGCTATTATTTAACATTCGTGTTTTGGACTTTGTGTGTGTGTGAGAGAGAGATTTGTCTATTCATGGCTGTTACAGCTACTCTTTTGAGTCATTTATCTTTTTTATTAGTTTATAAAGTACTAATATGTTTATACATTATGTATTTGTGTATGTGTATATTTAATTTCCCTAAGTCTTTTTTGTTTGTATCTTAACTTTGCTTATTCATCATGCAGATAATTCTTTTCTCAAATTTGTAGGATTTGTAACCAGACTCTCAAATTATTTCCTGTTATAGCTTTTGGTATTTATTTCATGACTGAATTCATTCATCTCCTTGGGCATTTTTGGCTTAGAGTTTTAATCTGACATAATTATATGTACTATGATGTAGGGATCCAGTTAAGATATTTTTCAGCATTCCCAATAACATTAATAAAATTACACATAATTTCCCACCAGCTTGGAATTCTACTTTCATTCTCTCTAAAGCTATATTTTCTTCCACTGAGCTACTTAGCTTTGACAATGCCAGCATTCAGAGAGAATCAGATCCCTCCTTCTCTTATTTTTTTTTTGAAATTGATTTTTATTTAGTTTAAAAATATATTCTTTCATATGAATTTTAGGATCTTCATAAAGATTAAAAAAGAAATCAGAATTTGATTGCAATTCCATTTCTAATTTATACAGTATTTTTCATGTTCTTGATATCTACATCATTAAATCTTTGTTTCCAGGAACATGGAACATTTCTATTCAGATTTACATTTCATAATACTTTTTTCCTCTCATTTTTTTCAATTTTGTTAGTCATGAAAGAAATCTTTTTTCTTCTTTTATATTTCCAACGTTTTTTAGTGCTAGCATTAAAACATTTATAAGATATGGGTGGGAACCAGCAGTTAGTGTAATGACTATGTCGCTGGACTCCCACGTAGTCCACCACGGTTCACGTCCTGGACCCGGTGGCTTAAAACTCACGCCGGGTGCGTATGCGTGCGTGCCCAAGATCCCAAGAGGAGAATGGAGGAGAAGGGATTGCGGCGTGACCATCCCCCCGGGGGGTGATTTCTCGCTTTCCGTCTATATGTCTCTCTCTGTCTGTCTGGCGAGCGCACGCGCACAATAGCAAAAATCTCTCCAAAAAAAAAAAAGATATGGGTATATTTTGTGTATGTGCTTGTGTATGCATGTCTATGTTCACACATGTATATATGCACACACATATACAAGATGGTCTTCAAAAAGTTCACAGAAGATGCATATTATGGAGACCTATGCAGAGATTTCAAAATTTTTTGGACCAAAATAAACTCATACTTCAATTCCATGTTTTCATGAACTTTTTCCTGCCTCCATACATGTGCACACGTGGATACACATACCTGTGACAGTGAGCAGATCACGTCTCCTCCACTGGCTCCAACGTTTTCAGAAGCTTTGTTTAGGTTTCCTTTGTCCGTAAGTGAATTCACTTGGGCCCCCCAAGAAGTGGGCTCTAAGACACGAGTGTGAGTGCCAACAGTTCATCTGACAGATGAGGGACCCACGAAAGCAGAGAAGTTGGTAAGTGATTCAAAAAATTTCAGAAGCGCGTGAGAGAGAACTAACCCAGCTCAGCGAAGGACAAGTGAGTGTGAATCCCACAGAGAAGCCACAGAGGCTCCTACACGGCACACACTGGGATTTCCACATCGGAGGGTGGAAAAGAGGCTGGTATTTATACTCCTCTCAGTCATTGGTTGAGGGTTACCCCTAGGGAGCATAAATTCTGGGGAATCCCCAGCCCTCCACTAGCAGGGGCACCTCTAACTGACCACTAACATGGGCACCTCCAGCCTCCACCAATACAGGAACCCCCAGCCTCCACCAACACAGACACCTCCAACCCACCACCAGCATAGACAGAACAGCCCCCCAGAGAACACCCTAGCCACAAAGAAGCACATACTAACTTTGAAAGTTGTCAGACCGGAAGACCAACAGTTGGAGTAATGGCTACATCGCTGGACTCCCATGTAGTCGACCGCAGTTCAAGTCCCAGACCCGGTGGCTTAAACTCACACCGGGCACGTGTGTGTGCGTGCCCAAGATCCCAAGAGGAGAATGGAGGAGGGACTGCAACATGTCCATCCCCCCTGGGGGGTGATTTCTCGCTCTCTGTCTCTGTGTCTCTCTCTGTCTTTCTGGCAAACGCATGAAAAGGGAAAGAAAAGTTGTCAGACTAGGCATCTGCTGCAGACCCTCTCGTATCCACAGGTACCCCAGGCCAAATATGCCCTGCCTTTTCATTCCCTCAAGGTCAGTTGCCGGTATGTAAAACATAAGGGGGAAAAGGTACAATAGAAGGGTTATCAGGACAAGCTCCAGCCCCTGCAGCTGTGGTTCCTCTGAGGCCATGACCACACTTGTCCTCTCCCTGCTCCACGCTCCCTCACCCCTGCAGCTGTGGTTCCTCTGAGGCCATGACCACACTTGTCCTCTCCCTGCTCCACGCTCCCTCACCCCTGCAGCTGTGGTTCCTCTGAGGC